AAAATGTTGTAATAAAAATTTGATATATATATATATATATATATATATATTGTGAAAATATTGTACTTATTCTAAAAATTTCAATTACTATTTTAAGAAGAGTATACTAATAATATTGAGAATATTGTTATCTAAAAATTAAGACATTACAGTCTCTAACTTGTCTCACTTAGAACACCTATCATAGTCGCTCTTAGCATATTTTAGCTTTCTTAAAGTAAGCAACTTATTCACTTAAATGAGTTAGCATTATCTCCCAAGGATAACTCTGACTCTCCTCACTTAGGGTGCTCGTTATGGTCACTCTAAGCGAATTCTAGCTCCCTCAGAGTGCATCTAGTTGATATTGGAGTGTTGTTGTTTCTTTTGAGACTTTGTAGCTTTTAAGTAGAGCTGTCAAAACGGGCCAACCTGGCCCATGTGGGCCGGCCCACCTTGACCCACTTTAAAAATGAGTCAACCCAACCCGGCCCACTTGTGATTTTTTCAAAAAAAATTTGGCCCGGCCCGGCCCACCACGGGTTGGTGGGTTATACAGGCCAGCCACCAGCCCACCAAAAATATAAAAAAATTATCAATAAAATTCAAAATTTTAAATTAATTATAAATTAATATAATAGTCATAAAATTAACATCATTAATAGTCATAAGTCATAATCCATCATACAAAATTAAATACAAATCATGATAAAAGTCTAAAATAAAAATTTTCAATATACCATCATACAAAATTAACTACAAATCATACTTAAATTTTTATTGCAAAAAAAAATGGTGGGTTGGTGGGTTACCCGGCCCACCACGGGTTTAGCCCGGGTGGGCCGGGTCAAAGTGAGTCAGGTTGAGATATACCCACCTATTATAAAACTTTAATTTTTTTTGGTTCGGCCCGACCCATTTTCAAGGTGGGCCGGGTTGGCCCACGGATCCCGGCCCACTTTGACAGCTCTACTTTTAAGCTCCATTCTCCCACCTTAATAAAGAAAGTATTAAAAATACCTAATATTAAATAATTTCATTCTAAATATAAAATTAATTAACCCTAACTACATATTTTGTAGCAAAAAAAAGATTTTGAAACCAAAGATACAGTATATCAAATAGTTGTCAGAATTGGATAAAATTTATATACATATTTGACAATTATCAATAATTAATTTTTAAATAAGGAAAAACATATAATTATCCCTATAATAAATATTATAAAAGGAAAATATTATATTTATATGAAAAGAAAAATATATTATTATCTTCACAATAAATTAATACTATAAAAGAAATAAATTATTTATAAAAAATAAATCACTTAAATATATTTTTTTACCACCAAACTTTAAATTAAAAAATTAACTTAATATTAAAATATTATATATATAGGAGGATTATAATAACACTGGTATAATTTTTACTAAGTATTACACTGCTCAATAACTTTATATTAATTGTGAATTTTGTAAATCCAATCGGTAACATACAAAATATTGTCTAAAAAATTGATATTTTGTCATGTAAGTATACTTTTTTTCAGAGTTAAAAGAGCATTTGTCACATGTTAAGTTATGTGATTAAGTTACAAAACCATCCACAATCCAAAAAATTAGTAATAAAAAAAAATCAGTTCAAGTGCTTGTAACATTGTCACTGAATCTTAATTTGGTTAAGCATCTTGGTGGATGATAATTGTGCAGGGGCAACAAATATTAAAAGGAGAGAAAAAATTCTTTTATTAAAAGAAGGAAGATATTTTATTAAAAGAAGGAGGATCTTTTGTGATTGACATATTTTTTTATCAATAAATATTCTCAGAAAATCATTTAAAAATATAAAATATCTTTAATATAAAATTATGTATAAAACTAAAATGTGGACACGTGTCTGTAATTTTGGTAGCCTATTGTTTTATTATTTAGATAATAGGAGGGTTTTGTGTTATTCAATTAAGATAATCTATAATGAGATTTTTCCTCCTTTAATTTGAAACATGTACGTTGGAGACACCTCAAAGGGTGGGATAGCTGACCCCAAGATTTAACGCGGCTACATACACAAGGCAGGATTCGAACCCCTGACCTTGCTTAAGCGTGGATCAACCCCTACCGCTGAACCACACGCTTGGGATTAATTGTTTTGTTTGTTTGGTTTGTGATTATCTCTATTAACCAAATTTTTTTAAGAGTATATTAAAATTTGATAGTATTGAATTAAAACTTTTTTTTTATTTTAAAAAAAATTTATTGATATTAAAATATATAGTAATTTCAATAAATTATTTTAAATGATGAATTTTATAAGATTTTTTTTAGTAGAATTTACATATAATTTACTGATCTAACAATTTCAAAAAAATCTTTGAAATTTCGTATGATTTTTTTTCATTTAGTTTTTTTTTTCTTTTTCATTTTTTTACTTATCTTTTTTCCCTCTCTATCTATTTCTCATCCTATCTTTTCTCTTTGTTTTTGCTCTCTCTCTCTTCTTTATGGCATTTTTTTTCTCGCCTCTCTCTTTTCATGTATGCTCTATTTCATATTTTTTTTATTTCTCTCATTTATTTCTTCTTTTTCTCACTATTTTTTATCTAATAATTATTTTTCTCTGTCAATATTTTTTATTACATTTTTATCCATCAACATTGATATATAATTTATCAATTTTTACTTTTGGATTATTAAATATTATATATTATTAAATTATTAAAATTTAACATACGTTTATTTCCAATAAAATTTAATATTAAAATATTAAAATTTTATACATACATTAAAAATATATTTTAACAACTTTACTAGTAAATGAATATCATAAATATAAACATATTTTTTTTAAAAAAAATTCAATAATATGAATTAGAAAATATAAATGCAGACTGTCTGTAGAAAAATGTTACTTAAAAGTATTTATTTTATTAATTGCATTTGTTTTCTAAAATTTCATATTGCCCTACGAAATCTAATAAAATCATTTATAATCTTATAAATTCTTGACATACAAATCTATTAGAATTCATATTACAAAATCTTGATTGAAAAAGTCTTTTAAAAAAGTCATTACATTCTAAAATTATTTTTTAAAAAATCTTAATAGCCATTAAATTTCTACAAATTTTTTTAAAAATTTAAAAGACTTTTTTTTATTAAAAAATCTTATGAAATTTTAATCCAATACATCTGTTTAATTAAATGCTATATGACTTTTATATTAAAAATATATATTAATCGAATATTATAAAACTGTTTTATAATTAAAAAGTCTTTTAAAATCTTTAAAGTTTCAATCCAACACACTCATTAATACATTTCAACAAATCAAAAGAACTCACTTTAATTAAAAGAAATTTTAGTCTAAAAATAATTAATGCACAAAACAACAAATTAAGTTTTATATAAAAGAATAAACAATTATTCTATATTAAGTCTTATAAATAAGAATATGAGTAATAATAAATTGAAATCTGGGTCCTATAATAAAGATCATAAAGAGTAAATAGGACAAATTTATTATTATTAAGTAATTTAACTTTTTTTATATAAATTAAATAATTGAGTTTTATGCAAGAACATTGATATTTTTTTATTAAATATAATATATGTAATAAATCATTTAACAAATATAATATATAGTTATTAAACACATTTATTATATATATATATATTAAAAGAGGAGGATTCAAATGACACTGGTGTAACTTTTACTAAATGTTACACCGCTTAATAACTTTATATTAAATGTGAATTTTGAAAATTCAACTGTTAGATTGAAAGTTCATATTTCTTAGATTATATATATCAAATTTTATATTAATCTAAGATGATTTGATACTTCATTCTCATAAAACAAAATTGACGTAATATATACATTTCAAAATATACTAAAATATGAATATTCTGACTATCTTCAAGTTGTTGTTCAATTTTAACAAAATTTGACATATATCATTTAAGATATATGAATTTTCAATTTAACGGTTAGATTTTCAAAATTCATATTTAATATAAAATTATTAAGCGATATAACAGTAAAAGTTATAGCGGTGTCGTTTGAATCTTTCTCATATTAAAAACTATTATTATTAAATTAAAGTAATAAATGCAAAGTTTAAGAATTAAGGAGGTGAGCTTAAAAAGGAAATGGACTAGTATTGATTCATTGAAGGGTAGGTCCGAGGACCTTGAATGCCGTGAGTGGTGAAGGAAAGGAAAAGAGGGAATTCAGGACTCAGGAGAGGACTGAGTGAGACAGCATGTCCGTCCACATTCATTCATTCATTGCCATTGATTTTCCAAACCCCAAACACACCCTCAAACCCACAAAACCATTTTCTCATTCTGCTATAAAAATCACCGCTTCCATTCCCCACCCTCTCAGATTCGGACACTCCATCGCTTTCTTTTCGGTACCCACTCTCTCCTTTCCCTTTTCTATCATGTGTCTCCTCTCTCTCTTTTTTTTTTTTTTTCCCCTTATTTCTTACCCAATATTTCGTATAGTATCTCTCTGTTTCTTATTTTTAATCCTTGATAGCTTCACATTGTTGTGATGTCACTCGAGACAAGAGGCATATATTTCAGGGGAATGGGTAGGTGAGTCGGTGGAGGAGCACGAAATTGAAAATGTCTTTGCAGTTTGCTCATATGAATCTTTTTTAATAGAGCTAATTAACTCACATTTTTTTAGATTTCTTTTGATTGCACATGGTACACTGTATAATGTATAAATAATATATACTAATATATAAGGTAGGGGTTTTGGTGTTAAGATTTTTTATTCTATTTTATCCCTGTAATTATCCCCCAATCATTTAGACTCTCCAATTGAAACCATCCGCTGTTATTTTTTTTTTATTTGTTTTTGTGATAGGTATAAGTTTTTTCCAATTGAGGGGCCCTGTACAGCTAGAGTATACCTTTGGACGTGTTTCTATGTCCAAGTTGGAAATGAAATTCTGGTCCTTAGTTAAAGAACATAACTATTTAATCACTTGTACTAACGTACTTTGGTCTTTAAGTGTTATTTATATCTTTTTATTTTTTAAAACAAAATATATAGAAGCACCGAGTGCCTGTTTTTAAATTGTCTGTAAACAATTAAGGTGACTATGTGTAGGGGTAAAGACCAAAGAAGATAGGGGTTTACGATGTATTTGATGAAATCTCAATGGGTGTTATTCTAAATTACTCTTTTTTGAAGTGACATGGAATTCGTGTGGCCATGCCAACAATGCTTCAGTTTTCTAGAAAGAGAGTAAAGTCTCTCGATGGGACTAATGGGTGTTGTGTTGGGCCCGTCCACATTGGCTTTATCATCAAATCAATCATGAGTTAGTTGCTTGCAGAATTGGCATGCATGAATTATATGTTTGTAAAAGAAAGTAAGGGGGCCAGTGGCCACGTTTAGTTAATTCTTTTGAATCTTGTTTGGGAAGAGACTTTTTGAAAAATAACAGTATGTGGGTTTTGGTATATTTTTAGGATTTAGGTTTTGAGAAAAATACTACTTTTTTAATCATATAAGGACCCACCAATCCATGGTTGGTTATATATAGTCCAGGCCTCCAGGGGTCGCTAGCTATATTTAAAATTAAAATTGTGTTTTTTTCTTTTCAGTAGAATCTTGTCCTGATACTCAAGAATAGTAGAGGATCCAAATCCATAGTAGAAGGCCTCATGACTCATCCTATACTTTATGGAAACCTTTAATGTGTACAATGTATGTAGACGCTATTTATGTCAAACAGGTCATACATACTTCTTTATTGACACAATGAAGTGGAAGTGAGGGATGAGATCACCATTCCACTGTCTGAAATTGATGTACATGGTCGTGCTTTCAATCTTGTGGCCTGTACTGGTTGCCCTGATGAAGCACTTACCAAGTTTCTTGCATAGTTGTATTGCTATCATGCACTTCTATTCTAATATCCTCTCTTCTTATGATTCGATCATGCAGTATTCCGTGAAATGATTTTGATTGCTTAAAATTGATCCATAGAGAGGACTGACGGACTTGTTTACAATGTCAACTCTGAGCAATTCAACAAATATATTTTGGCAAGATTGTCAAGTAGGAAGGCCTGAAAGGCAGAAGTTACTTAACCAAAAGGGATGTGTTGTATGGATTACTGGACTCAGCGGATCAGGTACATGTGATTAATGTTATAGGTTTAATGCTTATGTTTTTCAACATTGGTTCCAGTTATTCAGTTCTTTTTTGGCATGGAAAAAAAATCATATTCTTGCTGTCTGTGATCCTTATGCTTTTCATTATGTTATAGTTGTTCCTTGAATTTAAGAATCCTCTGTAATTGACTTGATCAGCAGGTAACTATTATCTGTCACATTGCATGGTAATTTACCTAACATGTGTTCCAGTCCATATACCGTTTCATTAGCTTGTAATTCCTGTATCTGTTCTACAAAAGATGATTATAATGTTTTTCTTAAATTTTGCCCACTTAAACACTTACCTTATCAACGGAAAACAAATTGTCTCCTTAATCTAGTCTTGTGTTTGTTAGTTTAACCAGTTGGACTGTTCCAATCCAATCAAAGCATAATGTCACCACTGGACATTTTTAAATACTAACAGCTTTCATTGGAGTTATATTATTTGACTTGTTTTAACATTATGCAAACTAAAGATATGTATTGGTTAATTAAGGTTCAAACACTTGTGCTTTTATATTCTCTAAAAACCTCTGTAAGAAGTAAATTGGGAACTTATATTAGACCAGGAATTTTATAGACAAACTAGAAATATTGAAGGAAACCTTAGATACAAATGTTTTTCACTATTTTGATTCTTCTAATCATCCTTTTCCCTGATTAAAATGACTACAAGGTGCAAATGGTGTACTGCCTATCATACCTAATTACCTATGGTTCATTACTTTAGTTTTATGTGTTCAATTTGACTTGTCCTAGGGTCATAGCTCTTCTCAAAACGTTGCTCTTATTGCTTATCTTATCTTATCTTTCATATCACATTTAAGACATGCTGCATTCCATGTTTTTGTTTTGAGTAACTCATGAATTATAGTTATGTAGTGTACCAGTAAATAATGCTTAGTCTTTGAAATTCCTGAGTAAGTGTATGTCTAATGTGCTTGCAAATTTATTGCTTTATCAAACTGTTCAGGAAAAAGCACATTGGCATGTTCCCTAAGCAGAGAACTATACACAAGGGGAAAGTTATCTTATGTCCTTGATGGAGATAACCTTCGGCATGGACTAAACAAGGATCTTGGTTTTCTACCTGAAGATCGCACTGAAAATATTCGCAGAACTGGTAAGTTTGCTCCTGGAAACAAATCCTTTAAGCATATGGGAGTAACAGGAACTTGATAGCCAGTTTAACATAGCTATTTGGTTATGCCGAGGGTAGATATTAGAGTGGTATCTGTAGCCTATACCAGCATAATAAATAACAGATTTCTTGTTATCCCTTGGAACAACCTATTAATAACTGCCCATGCTTTTTTTCTGCAAAAAAACTTATTAGTTGAATGATTGAATGAAAAGGACAGAAGGTCTTATATGACGTGGCATTTTATCGTGGCTTTTTGGGTGCACTGTTTTGTAGAAGTTGGAATATGGCAATAAAAATTTGCTGGGTTAGATTTAACTAAGCCGATGTTTCAGTAATATAGGTGTTGTTTGCATAAGGAAGTATGGGTGAATTTTTCATAAAATGTGCAAGGAAGTATATTACAACAACACATCCAAAACCAATACGTGTGTGAGATTATGATGTTAGTGAATCTATACTGTTTGAAATTTACATACTACATGAATCTCATCTTAGTGATCTACATATATGGTAGAAGTAGATGTCATTTTCTGAGTCAACAGTACTTTGGCGGTTGCAGTTACAAGTCTAGCTGCTGTATATTATAAAATATAATGCATATTTGTTTTCCAACTTGGTTTTACTGATCAGCAAATTATTTAATTCAGGAGAAGTTGCAAAACTCTTTGCCGATGCTGGTTTAATATGTGTTGCTAGTCTGATATCTCCTTACAGAAGAGACCGAGACAGTTGCCGTGCCATGTTACCTGATGCGAATTTTATTGAGGCAAGGCACCATTAGGCATTTCTTATCATTTGTATTAGTTGGTGTACATGATATTTGACAGTAGAAGTGTATTGACAGGTCTACATGAACATGCCTCTAGAATTGTGTGAGTCAAGAGATCCAAAAGGCCTCTATAAGCTTGCTCGGGCAGGAAAAATCAAAGGTGTGTTTTTGGTAATGTGTTTTACATGCGATGGCTTTGTCCCACCCATCTAACATAGGTTTTTGAAAAGTAAACATAAGTAAACTGAAATTTAGACATTGAAAGAAAATAAGACGAAGGTAGTCCAAAATTAAGTTTGTTTGGCATTGTTAACTAGGATAGGAATTAGGAATTCATGCAATACTATAATTATTCCAAGGAAGCATTTAACCCAATGCTTTTTTTTTTCTTTTACCTGTACATGATGTTGGAGTTAATAAACTAGTTTGGTTCATAGATCTTTGTGTTTGAGTGTTTTAGGTGGAGCATATTCGGCTGCTGGCCAAAGTATAATTCAGTAAGGCTAGTTTGTCTAAGCAGCTTTGTTAAAATTTGAATTGTATTAAGTTTGACGCTAAAATAAGATTTATTCTGATTAGGACATATGGAGTCCATCATTCAATTCAGATGAACACTAGAGTGCTTTTATTTAAAACTTTTCATAATATATTGAACTTATTCAAGTCCTAATAAATAATGTTGACTGAATTCAGGGCTTGCATTACATCTGAACTATGTTTTTCTTGCATTACCCTCATGATTCGTGTTTGACAATTTTCCTTTATATCCAGTTATTTGTTAAACATTGCTTGAAACCATTTCATAAATTCCGGCTTCCGAAACTATTTCCTTTTTTTGAATTCTGCAATGTGGCCTTTTTGAACTAAATGTGAAATTGAACAGGTTTTACCGGCATCGATGATCCTTATGAACCACCCATAAATTGTGAGGTATATATGTTCACGAAGCTACTAATGTTGTTTATACGTATCTTCTGCCTTGTGCGGTGTGTTACATATGTACATAGTTTAACATGATAATCTTTTTTCCAGATTGAAATCAAGCATGATAATGGTGTTTGTCCAACACCAACTGTGATGGCTGGACAAGTGGTTACTTACTTGGAGAAGAAAGGATTTCTTGAACATTAGGGTGTTCAAGTGTAATCATATTACAAATGTGATTATTCTCTAATAATGATGCTTCTTCTACATGTTAAAAAAAAAAAAATCCTAGGAAGGTGCGGATAGGAGAGTGGTAAGAGGATAAATGGAATTGTAAAATTCATCAATTAATAATTGTTACAATTCATTCTATAGATTTATCAAGAATTTCAGGATATTTTACAACGTATGATGTTATTGTTTTCTTCGCATTGCTGGTCATTATGGTCCTAAGAAATTCAATTACATAACATATATTCATGTTCATCCAATAATTATAAATTTTCGCGCACCTAAAAGCTTATAGCTGCTCAATCTGCTCTGCACTACACATTTATCAACCCTCTGGTTGATATGCTTTTGTAAGGACAATTAAAACCCTTGACAGTGAAAGTGTGACACGTGTCACTCGAGAACTGGTGATTTATGTTCTGCGTTTAAATCTTAAGCACCGCGTTATTTATTTGGTACGTTGTGAATGGAGTAATGTATAATCTCACGAGAGAAGACCCTGCGTGTGAGCGTGTCTCGTCAGTACCCGAAGATTTTGTTAGTACTTCACTTGATATACAAAAATCACTGGATAATTGATATGGTAAGTTGAGTATACACATCTTTCAAAACCCCACATTCCTGCTTTTGAGGGACAGCGTATGTTTCACTGTTGTAAATATGTAGATGGATGGGTTATCACAATGTGAATTCCTTGTGATTGAAAACCAAGAGTGGAAGTTAGGTGATGTTTGGTTTAGAATGGACTAAAAAAACATAAAAGAATGGGAAGGAAGTCAAAAGGATAGAAAGTGAGATGGTTTTTCTTCTTGTTTGGCAAGAGAGAAAAAGAAAAAGAGAAAAAAAAAACTATCTTCTTGTAAAGTTGTGTAGAAAGTACAAAGAAAAAAAAATCGTGCCTAAACTGATATAAATATCTTAAAAAATTATGAAATGTAATGTAAATATTAATATTTTAGTCTCTAACATAAACTTCTCTCTCTCTTTTTCTTTTTTTCAAAATGGACAGAAGATAAATTTAGCATGAGACAACTTATTAACTATCATTCTTTCTTTCCTTCAACTTCTCCAAACAATGGACCAAAGGAATATAGCTCTATTCATCTTTCAGATATTGTTTCTCCCACTTTCATTTGAACAAGCATAGCATTAGTATAACAAATTAGTTTTGGTATACATGACACCCATGTAACAAAAAGATATTAATTTATTAGCTGAGAGACTTTTAATATTATCAACTTCTTAAAAATTGACATAGACGAAAATTTTCAAGTTATCGACACTAAAACTTCATTCGTTTATTAATATTTATATATTTTTTTTTAAGCTCAACTCTCAATAAAAATACCAATGTTAGGATTTAAACACATGAGAAGAGCCCAACTTCAAAATACAAGTATATTATTAGGTGGGAAAGTTTCATGGATTAAGCACTATATAAAATTTCATATTTTTTCAAAATGAGACTTCTAACGCATCTTCTATGTCAAAATGTAACTGATAGAATTTAAAATGAGACTTTTAACACATCTACAGATTGCAACTAATAGAATTTAATTTTTATGTTGTATGTTATGTTAAAGTGAAGTTTTTTTACACAATTAATTAATCATAAATGATTATTGATGTATTTAATATAATTGTGATAAAATTTATAGTATCATTACAGTTACTATTTATCAGTTGATAAATTCAATGGTGATTTTTTTTTCCAAATTAAATAATTTATTTTAAGTTCACAAGAGTGGTTTAAAAAAATATTTTCTGAAACCAGCTTATCTCAAACATAGTAAATTTAATGGAGACATTTATTTTTGAATTTTATACAACTATGTTATATTTATAATTAATTTGTGTATCCATAAAAAGTACTTTATAAATTATATGTGGAGAAATACTATTTATTATTATTTTAAAAAAGTTAAAAATTTAAAAATAATTTAGAATGAAATTAAGCTTATAAATAATCAATTTTTAACCTATATTTGGAGAGAAATTTTTTTTTATTAGGAAGAAATTTGAGAGAAAAATTATTCCACATATTAATAACTTTATATAATAAGATATATAATCAATTTTTAACCTATATGTAAGTCAAAAAATTTCCTTATGACGAAATTTTTAGAAGAAAACAACTTTATATAATAATATTTTTAAAAATTAAAGTTAAATTTTAAAAAAGCTTTAGATTAAAATTTATTTTATAAATATTCAGTTTTTAACCTATATTTTGAGAAAAACAATTTCTTATTAGGGCAAAATATTTGAGAGAAAATCAACTCCAAATACTGATAACTTTATATAATAAGATTTAAAAAAAATTAAAAGTGAGAAATGACTTTAGGATGAAATTAATCTTATAAATAATCAATTTTTAACCTGTATTTGGGTAAAATAAAATTTCTTAAGGAAAGACTACTCTAAATATTAAAAACTTTATATAATAAGATATATTTTGAGACAAAAACAAAATTTCTTATTAGGACAAGTTTTTGGGAAGAAAAAACTAATCCAAATGTTAATAATTTTATATAATAAGATAAGCTAACCAATTTTTAACGCATATTTTGAGGGGAAAATTTCTTTATTAGAACAAAATTTTTGAAAGAAAAAATTACTCTAAATATTAATAATTTTATATAATAAAATAAAAATAATGTAATTACTTTAATTAGTAGCGTAGGAAATTTTGTGAACTAATAGAATCAATCAAGTAATGAAAATTTAGAGTAAAATGTAAAAGATTTTAAATTTTAATTTTGTTAATTATAGTTCCTATAGATAAAAATAAAATAAATACTTTTAGTCATTTCTAAAATTTTCATTATTTCTGGTTAAAAGTTGAAAATATAATAATAAAAAAAATAATTTTTTTAATTATAATATTAATGCCAAATAGTCATGGTTAGAAATAATGATTAGTTCTAATAAAAAAAAGTAAGCACAGAAAATATAAATATTTTCTTCACAATATAATCTATTTTATAAATAAAATAAAATGCAAAACCCTGTCTCCAAACTTTGTATGGTTGTGATAGAAAGGCAAGCACACAGGATAGCATAGTCGAAGTGGAAAGCAAGCGTAATTAAGCCTTTCTAGGGTTGGAATTTGGAAACGTCCAATAAATACGGGCGAGGCTGAAAATAGAATTTGACTTGTTTGATCCGGAATTGGATGAAGGAGAAGGCAAAGCAACAAAAGTAGGCAACGGAAAACGACGCCGTAGATCAATTGAAGGATGGTGCTGAACAGCAACGTGGTGGCCAGAGTGGCGCACGCATCAGCGCATCTTTGTCAATTCATAGCTTGCAATCCCCAGAGGCTCAGCAGCGACGTCGTTTTGCGCATCCTCTTCTGCCTCCCTTTCCAACACTTGTTTCGCTCTCTCTCCTCCTACCTTCGCCATCACTCCGATTGAACTTCCCATTCCCCTCTCTCCGTATGTATTCATTCTTCTTCTTCTCCTCTCTCTCTGTATTAATATGTTTCTATTTTCTTTCTTTATGTGATTTTTATTAAAGGACTTTCCGCTTTCTATTTGATTTCACGCTCTTTCGCTCTGCATCGCTTCATAATTTTCTGAATTGGAGATGCATCATAGAACCAAGGTCAAATTTGTTTTCTTATTTTTTTTATTTTTTTTATTCTCTTCAGATATGAAACCCAGAAGAGAACTAAATTCACTGATGAAGTAGGTGTCACTAAGAACTCGCCCATTCCTTTTTAGATTTAGGTTTTAAAATTCGATTCAGTATCAATTTCTCTCACTTTTTTTTTTAGAAACTATAAATTTTTTGAAGAGGTATATATTAAGGGGACAGTTTCGTACTTCTATGAATAAATCTATCTAGAGTTAAATTTTAATAGTTAAATTTAAAGTTCTTAATGTATAGATCAAGTTTGTAAATTTTAAAAAAATTTAAAAATTATTTGATATTTTGTTTCATTAATTTAAATTAAAGATAATCATAAAATTATTTTATATATTGATTTTAATTAATAAAATAAATATTAAGTAATTTTTAAATTTTTTAAAAAAATTAGATTTAATTTATGTATTAAGAACTTTAAATTCAATTGTTGGATTGTTAAAATTTGATGTAAAACATGAGTTATTAATCGGAATAAGTCTAAAATAAAAATATCTAATAAATAATTATTTAATATAATATGATAGTATTTATTATTAGAGTAAACATCTAATTAATTTAATTCCTGAGTTGTAAGTTATTATATTAGTATATGAAACTACAAAGCTGTAATATTAGTTCTTAGAATGATGAATAGATCTTTAAATTTAGCAAATTTAGTGTTGTTTTAGTTCTTGAACATTGAGTTTTGAATCAATATGATTGTTAGTATGTATTTTTAAGGACTAATTTTAGAATTTTTTGGTTTCAATGATTAATAAGATTATGTCTTTCAAATTTAGAAACCAAGGCGAGTGTTATTCATCATAAAATATACTATAATTCAAGTTTTATATTTTTATTATGTAATTTAATTATATATAATATTAATTATCTTGTTTCATTTATTTTGAGTTGTTGAGTATGTGTTCAAATAAATAATGCGATCAAGTTTTTAGGTTGGATAAAAAAAATAATTTTGTCTTAATCCGTCTCTTACTCACTAATAAATGTGATAGGATTTTAGTTTTTCTTTTACTTTTTTTTTTTTTTTTTTATCTTAAAAGATTATAAATGTGATAGGATTTTATTTTCTTTTATTCAGATGCTGTGTAGAGTAATTGTACTTGAGCTATTTACCACTGTGTTCTCATTTTGAACTAGAAAAGTAGTTGGTTGGTAATGAATATTCATGAGTGGGGCAGGGAAGGTAACGCGTAAAGCGTAATAGATGTCATATCACACTCGGTGTATTAATAGCTCATAAGGACTTAGTTTTTTTTTTTTATATTATTATTATTATTATAATATTGGGAAGACTATTTTTCAACTTTATTAAAAGTTAATCTTGCAAAAAATTTGACTTATCTTTTCTAACATTATTCTTTGATCAAATTCAAGACTCCATCTTCAAATCTTAAGCCTTCAAAACTTGGGATTTACTCGATATACATATAAAAAAATATTACCTATGTTATTTTTAGTACAAGTAAATTTTAATTATTTTTTATTTAATTTGAATTGTATTTTCAATATCAATTTTCAATGAAAGATGATTTTAAAAAATAAGTTTTTTTTTGTCAAATTGCACTTTTTAGTTCCTTTATTCTCATTAATTTGTAATTTTAATCTTGCAATTTTAAAATATAGATACTTAATCGTTCTAATTTTAAAAATATAAAATTATGGTCCTTCAGTCAAATTGACGTATGTTAATTGTTAAATTTTAATGTTTACTCATTATTTAAGTGATGTGACATTTATTAATGACATTTAGAAATATAAAAAAAACTAAAAAATATACATATAAATTTTTTGTCAATAAAATAAATATCAATAATTCGTAAAAAAAGATATAATCAAAAAATTTTATGTTGTTTTTTAATTTTTATCCATATATACTTTGTTGTTAAGTATTACATCACTTAAGTCGTATTGGATCACTAGATAATGTCAAAATTTATCGATCAATGAATATTAGATTAACGCTAGAACTTAAATTTTAATTTTTTTTAAAACAAAGGACTAAATATCTTTGCTTTAAAATAGAGAGTTAAAATTGTGGATCAACAAAAATAAAGAGTCTAAAAGTGTAATTTAACCTTATTTTTTTCAAATAAAATTATTAAAATTAAACAATCTTAATTGAAGTTTCAAGGTGAATTAGTTGACATAAAAAAATATGAAATTAATAGTGTGTTTGACAATATATAACTTACATATTGTTTAAAATTTATAAATTATAAGGTATGAGTTGAAAAGGTAAAATTAATAAGTTAACAAGTAAGTGTGAAATGATATAAAAATCATATTTAGTTATTTGAAGTAAAAAATATATCTTAATAAATCAGTGAGAGTAAAAAATGAAAAAATGAAAAAGTTAGTAGCTTATGAAAATAAGTCAAAAAAAATTACTAAAATTAAATTTTTACATCAAACAAATTTATTTTGATCAAACTGATTTATTTTCAAACATATCAAACACACACCAAGTGTAAAATAAATAATATAATTATTAGGTATTTTTTGTTTGGCGAATTATAGGTCGATTGTAACAAACTAATCCAAATGTCAAGCTTAAAGACCAAATATAATTGCTTCTAAATGTTTGAATCGTCTCAAGTTTGTCCAAATGTTTAAGATTTGTTTGGGTAAATTTTTTCATAACAACTTTTAGAAGAAAAAAATAGAAATAAAAAATAAAATAAACTTTTTACTAATTAAAATTAACTTATACACAAATTAATTTGTAAAAATTCTCTCCTACTGACTTTTTCACATTTTTAGCTTTAACTTATTTGTAAGTTAGTTTTAAAATATAGAAAAAATTATTTTAATTTTATTTCCTCTTAAAAGCGTTTTTCGAGAATTTCTCTAAATAAACGATTTAATATATCTTAAACTAACTCATTGATGGATAAAATGCGCAAGTTTAATGGGCTTAAGCTAGCCTAGAATAGAGGTTTTCCCAATATTTTAGAAAATTTGATTTCAAAAATATTAAAACATAATTCATTTCTTATTATCATCCATGCGTTCTTAAAGGTACTATGCATATCGTCCTTCCCAAAAGCAATTTAAGTTTTGCATAAAAGATTTGTGAAAAGTTCCTAAATCACGGTTCAACCTATTTTCTTACATCGCGTGGTATTTTCTTTTATTCTTTTAACTTATTATTTTGTTTATTTAGCTTTGATGGACTACATTAACATCTTTTAAATTTTCATTTTTTTTATCTATCAATTTTGCATACAAATTTCTTTTTCAAAACAAATAGAAATATAAATTTTCAATAAATATTTTATAACATATATTAATCCTATATATATATATATATATAT